GAAAATAGTGTTAAACTCACCATGTGAAACAAAAGTGAATGAATATTAAACAACATATAAACTTAAAAAAAAAAGCCCCAGTTAAGCCGCAAACCGGTTAATCCGCCCCCGGATAATCGAGAGTTGACTGTATATGCAACCCAAAGACATGCTGAGCACAGCTACTTTCACAGGCCTGTTTAATTCTATATCAACTACTTTTTGGCATAACACATTTCACCAAGTTCTAGAACCAGTCATTCCACATTGGATTTACCCTATACTAAGCTGAATTGATAGAGGCTACTTTGATTATTCTCCAGTTTTGTTTATTCTACTTTACCCTCCAGGGAGAGAGCCCCTAGTATCCACTGTATAGGAGGCTGGGCAGACGCCAGAGCAGGTCTGGATACTGTGAAGAAAAATCTCTTGCCCTTACTGGGAATTGAACCCCAGCCAAACAGTCTGTATCACATCATTATAATGACTGAGCTATCCTAAGGAGTGAACTCAACTGTACTGGCTCAGGAAAGTGACCTACAGCTTTCAATAACCTTCTAATAAACTTGTGGATTCAATAACAAGGAATAAATTGATCAGCCAAATAACAATTAACTGCTCATGGAATACATTTTACTATGAACTGAGTATGTGAGTGTGTTAATCAGGTGACACATTTGGGTGCACTTAATTTCATTATATGAACTTCCATGCATATCAAAAATAGAAGTTTAAATGGTAGTTCAGTAGAGTTAAGTAAGCTTTTCGTTTACTCTACTAAACTGAACATCATTTTGGACAACGTATATTAGGGTTGGTAAACCAATACAATAAAAATTATCCTACCAAACTTTTTTCATCAAGGATTATCTGACCATCTGGTCCCACTTTGACCTGAGGCACTGGCATTGCCATGTCTTCTTCGTCAGCTGCAGTCTCATCATTTTGTTCATTCAGTGTCTCAACAGTTGGTTCATCAACTTTCTCCTCTTCCTGTTGCTCCCCAACTGCACTGAAACATTTATTTTTACTTTCACTAACAATAAAGATAGCTAATAACTTCTTTTAAATCATATAAATTCAAATATTTGGGCATGATAGTAACAGGACAGAATTATATTCATGGAGAAAGTCAAGAGCAGATTAAATCTGACGAATAAATATTACCAATCATCTCAGAATCTTTCATCTTCACACCTCACAACTAAAAATGCAAGCTTCAAATATAAAGAACTATAATTTTACATGTTGTTCCATAAGGGTATGAACCCTGGTCTTTCACCTTAAAAAAAGAACATCATTTTGAGTGTATGAGGACAATGTGATGGTAACAATGCTTGAGACCAAAAAGAGAGGAAGTAACAGAGGAAGAAAACAACTGCAGAGTGAGGAGCGTCATAATTTGTTTCCTTCTGCAGATATTATTAGTAATTAAATAAAGAAAACAGTGTGGGATGGGCAGGATATACAGCAGGAGGGGTCAGAAATGAGAAATTTTACACAAAAAAACTGAAGGGAAGAGACCTAGGCAAAGAAGAGGAGATACTATTCAATGGTTCTTACAGAAAAAGGGTGAGAGGAATAAGTAGGGTTTGATAATTCTGAAAACAGGAGCAAAACCAACTCCAGAAACGGTACAATAAACATACTTCAGATAATGAATGTCTGATATAATGTTTGTATAATGGGCCAACCTGGCACAGGATGGCCCAGTGGCAGGACATGAACATGGTAGCAAACCTTCAGGTATCACAAAAGGTGGCAAATTAAAAATATTATTATTTAAAAAGACATGGGAATTTATATTTTTCTTAAGGAACAAAAGATATGAAATCCCAGTTTTTCCCAGCAGGTAATTCAGAACTTCTCACAACTGCGTATGTAAGTAAACTCGTGATTATCTGCTTCACGTTATCTGTGCACAATGTTTTCATTCATTTTTATCACACACTTTTACAGACCACTAATGAACTACACATCCACATTTCACTCATCTCGAACAATCAGTGCAAGTTGAGAGTGATACAAATGCTGCAGATACAACTACTTCTAGATGTTTCATTCTTGTGGCAACATTTGTCACAAGGACAAAAAACAGCTACAAGTGAAAGGGGTAGGTCAGTTGTGTCTCATGCAGACTTCTCATCTCAAACAATTAATGTAGGTCCCAGAGAACAAAAAGGGGAGATGGACTAGCAGTAACAATGGAAATGTATGATGGGCGATGCTGTTTCCAAATGTCATTCCAGTAATGTGTTGAACAACTGAGCATCAGCCAGAAGTGAAAGGGGAAGGAAAGATGTCTCATCATTATCCAGAATTTTGACTAACAGAAAATATAAACAAGAAGTTCTAGGAAGAACAAACTTTCCCCGATAAAAAAGAGATTCCACAGAAAATGTGTCCAACAATTCTCCTATTTTTGCGTATTTGTTACTGCAGTAATGCTATTACAGAGCCATTGCCTAGCAATGATAGGGGGAATACACATATACTGATAGGAGGGATTTTTTAAGTATGCCACTGAGATGGGCGCAGGTGCCATGAAATACATAATGAGTTTCACAGAAACTGTTTCTGGCATTCAAAAGTTAATAGGGTGGGATCACTAGACATCATGGAGATCTCATATGCCTACTTTAGATAAGTTGGCTAAAAACCAATTAAGGTAACCAATATACTTAAGAGCTCAAAAGAAAGGAAACTGTCAACACTTACTGTCCTACAGTATCTTGGCTCTGGGAGAGTTTGGAATTTTCGCTCTCTTGTCCTGAACATCTGCAAATTTAAATATTTAAAAATAAATTAATTAATGAAATTCTTTTGATTAATAGTGACTCCTGGCAGAGCAGAATGGGGTATTCATAATTTACAGTTTGAACTCTATGCGTAACACAGAGAGTTAAAAAAAGCACAGAATGAAGTTTTCAAATATGAAAATATGAGCACACATAAAAAAATAAGTGTAATATTTACTTCAGTTCTATCACCAAACACAGTGTGTAATATGGTGTGAACACCAAAAAGCCTGCATACAAGGTAACCCCTTTCTTTTCCAATAAGAAATCAGGAAAAGAGGTCTTTTCACCAAACTGAATATGCCATTTAGTTCTATGGGTTGTAAGGAAGTAAAAACTGTACTATTAAGAAATAATAAATTACAAAATGTAATACCTTGTATGTAAATCTTGATATTTTCACAAATACACTAGAATTAGCAATTAGAATTCAATCATAATCATAAAAAATAAGGCAGGCCCTCTTTTCTAAGAAGCAATATTTGGGGGGGGGGGNGGTGGAAATCACTTTGTTTTCAAAATAATATGGCAGTCACAGATAATATGTGAACATCATAAAACAGACAAAATTACTCCCAGATTCTTACTTCATAGGGTTGGTAGCTGGGTTGTAAAATATGAGATCAAACATCGTAAGGCGGCTCCTATCAGGTGTCCGGTTTCCAAATTTATTGTGGAACTCTAGTCGAGCTTTTGCCATACGCTGCATACAACTACTTGCTGCACGACGAGTTCGGATAACTTTCTTCTCTGCTTCCTCAATGGATCCAGTATCAGTGAGTGTTACTGCTAGGTCCTCACTGATGAAATAAGTAATCAATTAGTCCATCAAAAATAAAATTAAATTGAAGTATAAACATCAATTTATTTTATGGGCAGTAATCCAATCCAATATTGTCTGCAAATTCTCCATGATGAACTACAAAGCCAGATAAGGTACGCAGTAGAGACCGTGCCATAGCTCAACCTGGCTTCCCACTGCGGCGGTCCAGGTTCAATCCTGGGTCTGGTAAAGTGGGATTTGTGGTGGACATATTGGCACTGGGGTAGGTTTTCTCCAAGTACTTTGGTTTCCCTTGCCAATCTTTATTCCACCTAATTCTCCAACATCATAATCACCCGGGGCAGGTACAATAGGCCAATCGGTGGCTGCTGTGCCAAGTGGACCCAACTGGACTCCACCCCACATAATGCGAATTTAATTTTAAGGTACGCAGTAAGTACAAGATTGCTACTGTCTCGCAAAGATGAATAGGCCCATTAGGAGAAAAATGTGTAGGCAAATGAATGAATAGATAAAAATGCAGAAGTAATAAAATACAAACCATGAATGTATCAACTCAGTGGTACACTAGTTAGTATTCATACTGCCCATGGTCTAATTCTAATCACTGCTACATGAATCAAAATTGTATATAAAATGTGACAATCAATGAGAATATGGTCAACAGTCACAAGTCATACTACCATAGTCAATAAGTTCGTGCTGCTTGCCATGAGGCACAAACAAATTTTGCCAATGAAATGGCATATCTGACAGCCGATAACATTTGAAGTGAAGGGAAGTAATTAACTTGTGGGTTGCTGATGACATTATGTTTCACAATGAGCAGTGCAGTTCATGTGTGGGGCTCTGTTTATTGTTTGTGAGCAGTAGGCAGCAGTTACCAGCTCCATTAACCATTTGTTCTAAGTTACAGTTAGTGTGCAGTGTGGTACATCATGGTGCAGTATACTGCAGAGCAACTTGTATTTTTTTATGACACTTGTGTGAAATATGAATGTACTAGAAAGTGTTGGCAAAAATGTTAACATAAATTTCATGATGAAAGAGTTACTAGCAAACAAATTCACAATTTGGTGAATAAACTTAGAAAAATGGGGCTCTCAATAGACAAGAAACAAAAATATAAGTGCAGAGTGCTTACTGAGGGAAAGTTAGATGACATAGGGGCCAGACTTGAACACACACCTTGAAAATTACTAAACATCTAGCTCAAAAGACTGGAGTGTCAAAGTCTAGTGCAAGAACAGCAACACAAGTGCTGTAGCTTAGAACCTCTAAAACAAGAGTAATCCACACCTTTCAGCAGTGCGATCCAGCTAGTAGGGTTCATTTTTGCAGCTGGTTTCTGCAGTCAGTCATCAAAGATGAGTGAGATCCACAATTGACATTCTTTTCTGATGATGCATGATTTCACTTGCAGGGATACTTAAATATGCAAAATAACAGCTACTGGAGTTCACAGAATCCATACCTAACCTGAAGTCCTGCTCCGTCCAGTGAAAGCTGGTGTCTGGTGTGCTGTTAGTGTAAGGAGGATTGTAGTACCTGTGTTTTTTAATGAAACAATTAACTGAAAAAGATATCTACATGCAGAAAAACTGCATTTTCAACACCTCCTGTGGTCTGTGAACTGTAACAACTTCTTTCCGAATGTTACTGGCCATCAGTCATGCTGATTCACCGGCAAAATTTGTATGTACCTCGCAGCCAGCAACGCACAAGTCACAACTGCAGAACTGACCAAAAAAGTAAAAATCCTTCCTGCATATCTGTTCTTTAGACACTGAGCTCTATCCAACATTAGTCATATCCAATCAACTGACAATATTTTTATGGAATGAGAATTAGCACTTTGACAGACAAGTGGAGGCTTTTCAAACTGTATTAATACATGTGCATGTTGGCAGAAACTTCTGAAATTATTATAAATGGGGAGGGGGGTTATTTTGTATTCCTTGGTGTGAGCTCTCATACATTTCCTTCCTTCTCTCAAACTAAAGCTTACCTAGTCAAATCAGTTTCCTTCTTGTGAGGTGAAGTTGCCATGGAAGTCCCTTTCTTAAATTCTTCTTCTGTTTCACTGGCACTGATCTGTATACTATTACGTCTCATTGAAGCCTCCATAAATCGAGGAGTTGGTCGTACAAACCTCCCCCTGGATGTTTCTATAGGTTTCCTGATCACAGGAGATACATTACTTGCATCTGACATGCATTTCCTTGGCTCATCTTCTGATTCACTGGCACTTGCTTCACTTCCTTGCTTCCGACTCTCAGTTTGATCAGTCATGTTTGAGGTTTGACAAGCAAGTTTTGGCCTGCCTTGCTCTGGCATAACCTTCCCACTGCTATCATATGGTAATGAATCAGAACTCTGAATTTTCCTTGAGTCATCAGACTCATTACCACTTACACTACTTCCCGCAAACTTACGTTTGCGCATGCTTGGATCCAAAATACATGGACCTGGTTTAATGAACCTAGATCTTTGAACTACATTCACTTGAGAAGATGATGGCTTTAGTAATACACTACTGTAACCTCCACCAGCTCCTTCTGAAGGCAGATCAGGTTCAGGTAAGGATTGGGGAGCTTCTCCATTCACATCAAGTGTAGAAACACCTGTATTTCTGTCATACTGAGGGCGGATAGCTGTTCCAGTAGGTATTGTCTGTGTTATTCCTGGAACCCCAACCCCAATACCCTTTCCACTTGAAAAAGGCACCTCATTATTCTCTTTTGGATAACAAGGCAATATCGGACTGGTCCTCTCACTAACATCCTCATTTCTTACTGTGTGTTGCTGTGCGCATTCTTCCTGAATATTTTTAATACAATTAACAACTGATGACGTGCTTGCTAGTTTATCACCATTTAGGATTTCACTTGACACCCTTGGTCTCCTTGCAGCAGCAGGGATGCTAACAGGAGGCTTCATACGTTTCCGCACAAGTCCCGGTGGAACCTTCTTATCTGATAAAGATGATATACCAGAAATAATGGTTTCACATTTAGTAGAGGCTGCTTCATTTCCAACTGTTTCAGCTTCCATACCTGAAATGCTTACTCGTGACTTTATGGTTTCGTCTGCATCATGTGGACCTGCAGTTAATGTTTCAGCAACATCGTTAAAACCAGGGCTTACACTCTGAGAGCATAAATCAGCCACACTGTGTGGAATATTATTCTGTTCACTAGCCACACTGTGTGGAATATTATTCTGTTCACTGTCTTCTGAAGGTGAGCAGTTAATATCGTTTGAATTTCCATCTACGGGTCGAGTGTCTGATGCATCTTCTTGTGTCTGTTTTATGAGGTCCTCTTTCTCTCCATTCTCACTTGCTTTAGCAGACTTTACACTCTCACTCGCATTCTTCCCTCGCCTGATGGGCACATTAGCAACAGGCTTTATCCTCAAACGTCTTGATGCCATTTCTATTCTCTTCAGAACCTAGATAAAACAAAACAGTACATGTTACATTTAAGATGCATTATCAAATACAAAACCATGTCATAAATGTTACAGAAGGCCACTGACTAGGACAAGTTCCTCAGATAAGATCCAGTGGTCGGTTCTTGGGAGCACAAGAGGTATAAATGTTTGTGCATGTTAAAAAAAAAAACACTACTGCAGAGAAAGATGGTCGTTCACTACCACACCATCCTAAGTAAGAATATGAATATGCATACATCACACCAATAATATTGATACAAGAACGATGTCACAGTCGCAAGACAATAACCGGTGAGCTAACACTCAGGATCTCTTTCTGAAAATCATTACAGGCAACAAAACCTAGTCCACACTGTACAAAAATCAAACCAAAAAAGTGAGTTATAATTTTAGTTTTGTACAAATATAAATCAATAGGTGAAATAATTTCCCACACCCACTGGCTTCACTGTCCACGTTGATGTAACAGGAGGAGAGAGAGCCAGCAGCTTGTACTAATATGTTAAAATATTTATAAATTATAATTAGTATGTTTAAGAAGATAAAAGTATTAACACAAGCAGTTGTGGTTGTTAAAAACATTAGATTTTGAACTCACTGAACAGGGTGGGGCGCAGAAACTTCCTTTTTGCGAAGACGCATTGTGAAGGGAGCGGAGGTTGCAGAAAAGTGGGGACAGGCTCGGCAAACGCAGCAGTCGCAGAAGTTTCTGTCTAATACCCTTCAGTAGGAAACATGAGGTGGATGAGTGAGCAGTGCGTGTTTGCTGTCGAAGCCTATTTTTCGAACAACCATTCCTACGTGGCAGTGCAGCGTGTGTTCCGTACTCACTTCAGAATTAAGCCCAGAGGTCCGGTTCCCGACCAGAAATCGATTGTTCTGTGGGTAGAGAACTTTAGGACAACCAGGAGTGTGGTGAAAAAATCATCAGGACGACAACAGACCATTACGACGCCAGAAAATGTGGAGGCAGTTCAACAGTCAATTTTGAGATCTCCAAGATGCTCCGCTCACAAATATGCAGGCGCCCTAGACATATCCAATCGTTCAATGCGCCAAATTCTTCACAAACATCTTAATTTCCATCCCTATAAGATGGTTGTTGTGCAAGAATTGTTACCACATGATTTCCAGAACCAAATAATGGCATGCGAAACGTTACTGGAAATTTTACCCCTTGACGCACTTGTTTTCTTTAGTGATGAGGCACATTTTCACCTATCCGGATGTGTCAACAAGCAGAATATGTGCTATTGGAGTGGTAACAATCCCAGAGAGCTCCATGAGAGGCCACTTCACAGTGATAAGGCAACAGTATGGTGTGCGTTGTCAAGAATTGGAGTTACTGGCCCTTATTTTTTGAAGAAGACAATCATGCAGTTACTGTCAATTCACAGCAGTATGTGGACATGATTAGAAACTTTTTCGAACCAGGTCTTGAAGAAACGCATCTAGGAAATGACTGGTTCCAACAGGATGGTGCCACGGCCCACACAGCCCGAGCTTCGATAACAGTTTTGAGGGCAAAGTTCCCCGGACGGCTCATCTCACTTCGAGGTGACATCCCATGGGCAGCGCACTCACCTGATCTAACGCCCTGTGATTTTTTTATGGGGATACCTCAACATCGCCCCACAAACCTGCTTCAGCTGAACAATGTTATTCGGCAGGAAGTAGCCCAAATTCCAGTGCACATGTTGGAACATGCAGAGGAGAACTTCAGAAAACGGTTGCATCAGTGCATAGAGAGCGGTGGCCACCACCTTCAAGATATTTTGTTTAAAACTACATGATTTAAAACTTTAAAGTATGTTCTTTCATTAACTAAACATAAAGTTTGTCTATCAGCAATAATTTTTCTTTTATTCGTCTTCAAAAAAGGAAGTTTCTGCACCCCACCCTATATTATGATAACATTATATGTATATATGAATATTCAGAAAACATACTGTAATAGTGGTTTCTAATTGTATTGATATCTTTCTGAAGATGGTCTATAAGACCGAAATATGTTAAGGATAAAATATTAAAAAGGAGAAAGAAACTTCATCAGTCACACTGGATGGAATTTAACCTTTTATAATATTGTCAGTGTGATGGACGAGGATGAAACAAATCAAACTTACCTTAGCAAAATTAGAAGAGGGAGGTCAGCTTAGAGCAAAGAAGGTGGAGCAAAATGTGATTTGGCTGAAACAGAATGCAACTGCTTAACCTTTCTGTAGACATTTTTATCTTTCAGGAAATACATAGTAATGGGTCAACCCCCCAACCCCAAGGCCTCACGATTAAAAGAGGTGTTCTTTTTCTGGCAATAGCTTAGATGTGATTTTGAATTCATGTATTATGATACAGATCTGTTAACTGACTTTTCAGAATAACTTACACAGTGAAATCCTACTTATACCATTTGTCTTCAATGCTGGGATGTAGTACAGTGCCTATTTCTAATAACATTCATAGCATGGTCTTATAAAGCACAGAAACTGAAAGAAACTTGAGGTACACCACACTTCAATTCTCTATCAGTCAGAATACATGTTAGCACAGTAGGCATATCATTGCACCCTTCCTTCTCCTAAGGTACAATCTAGTAAAATTAAAAAGATCCCACCCCTTCCGATGTAATAAAAATCTCATTTAACATTTAAATATCCCATATGTGTGAATGGATAACACTGAACAATTAGATTTAAAAAAATACTTTCTAATGAGTGGGACACATGCTCAACTAGAATACCCAAGAGAAATTCCTATGAACCTTAATTTAGATGGCTTGAAAATAATCACAGCTCATCAAATACATTTTATTGTGTCAAAAACGTATGATGATACAGACAAGCAGTAATACATTTGGAACATATATGAGTACAACTATAATTAAAGTAAGGGTTCCGTGCGTAACTGATTAAGCACTACACCATGAAGACATATGGTGGAGTGGATGTATAAACCCACATATTCTTGACCTCAGCACTAGTTGGAGGTGAGTGGTCATATTCATGCCCAAGCGGCCTTACACCCAGGGAAAGAGCACCTGGTACCCAGTGGATAGGAGTCTGGGTGTGCCCCAGAACCGGTCTGGACAACATCGAGACCCCTTGGTCGTCCAGCCCACAGCCAGTCACCATACCCACTGCACTATCCTGGCTCTTATACAATTACAGTTATAACAATAAAATTTCTATGGCATGGTGTTTAAAATATTTGGCAACCTACACCTTGTGTAATATTTACAAGCAACTCAACAGCAGCCTTGTCCTGTAGATGAAGTCATATGCTTATTCAAATTGCACAAAATTGACATTACAAGATTTCATTCGTTTTCAAATTAGAACCTAAATCACGTGCAAAATTTTATGATTAAAGATAAGTAACTATTTTGAATTGTTTCATTTTGGTCCGTTACACTATTAATCTCTAATTGTCAATAGATTGGAACCGAAACATGTAAGGCAGATGAGATAAATAAGTGACCAAAATATATATTGTTGCACTTGACGGAAAATCTATTGACAATTAGTGATAAGTAACTAATTAAAAAACGTGAAAATTAAAATGATTCTGAACTCGACACATTCAAACTCCAGGCGAAAATTTAAATTTAATTTGATTATTATTCATGGCCAGAACGTACTTCTTGGAAACATGGCCTTCAGTACAAATCAATGGCAATTTATAAAACCAAATAATAGGTTTACTAATCACCAAAATGCAACATTCATTGCATCACTTCATACTTCAGCAGCAATCACTTTGTCAACTCGTAAAACACATGGTTACAGCAAAGTAACAACTACGGATGAAGATGTAAACAGTCACAACAAACGCCATATGTCTAACACATACCATCCACTACACCTATTAATCTCGTAAATCTGTTAATAAATCTAATACTTCTAAACTTTGTCGATCACACTTCGCAGCCACAAGCTTGTTTTCCATTACAACAACGTGCAAAAACCAACTGCGGAGCCTCATCTATCTTCATGCAACACATCACATACACCACTATTGCCGACACCTGCTTCGATGCACCACGGATCCCACGGATAGGTAAGTCCTTTGGTCGAGACGGTCAAGACCGTCAAGACGCAGTACAACCAACCACTATCGACTATCGAAACCTCTCTCGATCGATGCGTACGAATTCGAGAAAATATTCGTAATTGGTAATGTGCGCAAAAAAAGAGTTGCCGTAAGCATTCTTTGTGTATTCAAGGCATTCAGGGTCTCTTGTGTAGATTCTGCCACATGTTACAGAAATACAAGTCTCTATTAGAGAGTGGAAGAGAATTCATCTGCAGATTTTACGCATGAAGAAACGTAATGCAAGTCTAGTGTTTACATGCCATAATTCTTAGTTGGACTTTGCCGAGTTCCATAGATTACAGCATCAGTGACATTGTACATACCACTCATGCCAACTACTCAACTTCTGCTAGATTCTTTCTAATGACCTAATAGATGGCAGCAGGAGCCTAATTCCCACGTCCACAACGAGAAAAACTGGTGCTAACAGAGTGACCATCGTTTCAAGGTAACGTAATAATTCGATAGAGGAATCGATATCGTCAGAATGTAATTCGTATGTAGTCGCATATAGTCAAGCCAACTGTCCAGAGACATAAGTAGGTGCTCGTTAGATTTGATGAATTGGTAGTTCTTATTGCTGTGTCTATGAGGAGCAGACTACTAACATTTGAGACGTGACTCCGTTCGGTAGTCAACCAACGTTTCTAAGGAGCTTACTGCATCCGTCTGCAGAGTTAAACAGTATACCGAGAGAGAGAGAGAAACAAGCAAGGAGGTGTTTATTTGCCCGAAAATATTTCGTTTTTAATTACGGAAATCTCCATATTTTTTAAATTGTCAAAATTTGATATTTATAATTTTTAAGTGTTCGAAAATTTTATATATCTTAACGTTTTCGAAATTCGAAATTTTAGGCCATACAAAATTCTTACATTTTTCATATTATCGAAAACTTTAGTTTCTTGGGATTTTAAAATAGGTTTAAGTATTACACATTTCAAAAATGTTGTAATTTTTAGACATTCGATAATGTTTATATCTTTCATATTTTCGAAAATATCTAATTTATTAATTTTCGATAGTCGTAAAATATGCAATTTTTAAAAAGTTTTGAATTTTTTTATTTGGATAATTTTTGATCTCAACATTCACATGGACATAGGAGAAGGTCGTGGAAAGACTGTATGAGGATATGCTAAGTAAAGTAAGTTTAGGTATCAGGCCACAATCTAGTCTCAAGAGCTGTAGAAGTTCCAAAACTTGCAATTTTTCAAAATTTTGAAATTCTGAATACTTTTGTATTGCCAAAAGTTTCTAATTTTATATATTTCGACAGATATAATTCTTATTTGTAACATTCAATATATTGAAGAAAGCAGTCTTCTGGGATTTGGCANACCCTGAAGATGGAGGCGATACGTTCCTCCGAAACGTCGGTTAACACCACATATACACGGTGCCAAATCCCAGAAGACTGCTTTCTTCATAGTCACCGCCGTGAAAGCCTCAAATCTTACATTCAATATATTGTCACGTGTTGGGTATGTAACGCGATAAATAACTTCACGCCGTCTTAGAACTAGCGAATTTATTGCACTCGCTCTTACATTTATACAATTTACAGTTTCACAGCTACTGCCAACTGCAGTATCACAATTACTTCTCCTTCCGGAGTCATTGCCATGCACTCGTAACTGCTGGACTTCACCTTGTCTCTTCGAAGACTGGAAACCGACTGCTAATGCTCAACTAACTCCAGCGAATGCTAGACTGCAACTGCTCCGGCGAATGCTAGACTTCCATTGCACTGCTTAGTCAAAGACAAAGTCAAAGTCACATTGCGACTGACGGTCAGTCAGTCAGTAAGTCTTGGTGGCGAGTCCCATTTGGGGCTCATGACCAGATATTAATTATTATCGTTTGACAGTTACGGTATTGTTTCTGTGGGGCGCCTTCTCTGACGAGAGGCCGGGTCTGTCTTTTGTATATGCTGCTGGCCCTTGCCAGCGCAGTCTTACTCGGGTCCGAGTCCCTTGGGACTCGCGACCATATTTGACTGTCTCAGAATTGAGACTTCCCTTTTCGTCGCCGCCTACGACTCGCAGGGTCACGGTGGAGGTATTCGACCCCGCCTCCACACGGGGATCTCTGAAGTCTGCACTGCTTTGCTTAGGCATTCCAGTGTCTCTTATAAACCTTCAGCCGGACAGCAGAAAACGCAACTCGCTTCCCTGTTGCGTAATCGCCATGTTTACCGATTGCCTAGCAACACTCGCTTCACGGGCTCGCCTGTTGCTTGACGTCACAGCCTAGCGGGGAGGGGCGTTTACCGAGTGTTGCGTAATGATGGAAGGAGTGGCGGTATGTGACGTCACTTGCGGAAAAGCAGAGTTCACGTGACCCCTACTTCCTGATGAAGTCACAATATTTGGACTCCCGAAATTTACACATTTTTAAATTAGATGCTTTTCAAATCTTGTAATTTCGAACTTTCCAACTTCTTTAACATTTTCGAAAATTTTCAAAGTTTTAGCTAAACGAAATTATTTCCTTTTTATTTAGTTTTTCGCAATATGGTGGATTTTTTAAAACTTTGAAATATTTTGAATTCTTTATTATCCAGGGGTTTTTTTAATGTTCGAATAACTTGTGCCCGTGAACAGAAGTTGATTAAATTTTCAAATTTAAATTTTTTTATTTGTTTAATTCTGGTCCGTCACACTAACAATATCATGAAAATTTAAACAGTTCCGTCCAAAGTGACTGGTGAAGATTGTTCTTATTTCAATTATTTATTCTGTATTTTAGTGAAATAGTTACGTTTTCTGATAAATCTAAGAACAAATTGTAATTATTATTGTCACGTGTTATTGACTAGACACGGGGTTTGAATTGGTAATTGAATTTTTTAGACGCTAATAATTCGTAACTACAAATGATCATAACAGTCTCACTAATTTACACACTTTATGTACCACTAAAATTACAGCACACACAAAGTCTTCTGTTTGTTATTCTGTCATCATTAGTCGTTGCTAGGTAGTGGCTGCTAACAAAGGAGACTCATCGCAGTTAGTAACGAACTGCTGCTACTCGCCTGGAACTCACGACTCTCTCTACTGCTGACTGACTATTAAATTACTGCTCGTCCTAGAGAGCACAGTGATTATTTGTTCTGAATCCAACGGAATTCATGACTATAATTTACTGTCTGACGGTTCTGGGAACCTTCTCTCTCGACTGCTGCTGTCGGGCGGTTGGTTAAATTACTGCTGGACTTGGCCAGCACAGTCATTCCTGACTTCAGTCTCCTCGAGATTCATGACCGACACTTTTATTCTCTCCTTGACATTTTCATGTTTCGGAATGGGGCCTCCGCTTCGTCGAAGTGGGGGTCGGTCTTTCAACGTAGGTGCTACGTCTGTTGTATGGTAGTTTCAGCACGAGTATATCCGCGCTGCCACGGCGTCCTAGCCGCTATGGACTCTGTGCACCCTTTGTCAATGCACTGTACTAAGCAACATTTATAAAAATATATATACAGAGGTTTCTGTAAATGCAGGCTTGTGTAGCAGGTTATGCCTTAATTCATGTAACTACTCTGAAATTTCAGTTAGTCACGTGGATGGTCTTGGTCCTGACCGCCGCCAAATCTAAGCCTCTTATACCCGTACATCCCAGGCTCGGCTTCTCCTAGTCCAATACCATGTAAACCTGGATTTACATTGTTTAGAATTACTTCTGCTCTGTTTCCTGCGTAGTTTAGCTATGTAGTCATGCACGCAAGGATATCTAAAAGTCGCGTGCAATTCGCGGACTGGTGTGCACCTGTCAAGATTTCTAATACCGCGAGGTAATCTGTTCTGCAGGCGCTGCAATTTAAAGAGGTGAGCGTCCTCCGAATGCTCCCAGGTGGGATAGGCATAAGTCGTAACTGACCTAATCAGAGCTTTGTAAAGCGTAAATGTAATATTTGTGCTCAAACGTCCCCTTTTTAATAGAGAATAGATCCTTATATACATGCTTAAAGCCTAGGCTATACAGTCCTTTCGATGCGGTGTCTCCATGTCATCCTCCTGTCGAAAGTGACTTCGGGATACGAGAGAGAGTCAGGAAATAGGTCACAAATGGATATAAAGCGTAAAACATGTGATAATCTAACCTTGAAAAAAAACATTTATTGCTCGAGATATCCTCCACCAATATATCCTATCGCTTTACAAGTGCGTCGAAACCTGCAGCATAGAAGTCTTTTGACTGTTGTCTTAACCACTTCCGCACCTCCATTTCAGTATCTTCGTCAACCGCGAAACATTTGCCACCAGGGTAGTTTTTAGCGGACAAAGGAGAAGGAAGTAGCAAGGGGCGAAGTCCGGGCTGTGAGGCGGATGTTCAAGAAGTTCCAATTCTAGTACTTGGATTCTCTCCTAGGTTGCTCGGGCTGTATGGGGTCTGGTAATGTCATGATGAAGCAGTACCCCTCTTGCCAAAATTCGCATTGCACACGATAACTTCGGTGGGTATTACTTTTGGAAGACTCGAGGTAAGTAACTACAATTGTATTTGCAGTTTCATCGTCACAGTTGATCTATTCGTTTGAATATCAGACATTAAAAACATAAATCAAAACGCTGCGATAGCTATGCAAGAAAAGTGTGTCAGTTTACGAGATAAAAGCGATTTTTTTTTTCACAGATTGATAAATAATTTATCGAACTGTGAATAGCTGAAAGTAACCTATCCCTAACGTGTAACTGTTAAGCTCTGTTGTTTGACGAAGCGCATTCTGAAGGATTAACATGTGTACATGAGTTAGTTTGTTAATGTAATTGGTTGAGGTACTATGCTACAAGCCGGAAGATCGCGGGTTCAATTCCCGATTGGATTTTTAAATTGATCTAACCCTTCCAGCCGCACTATGTACCTGGGATAGACTCAGCCTCTAAAAGAAATCAGTATCAGGAATCTTCTTGGGGGCAAAGGGCGGTCGGGACGTAGGGCTGACAACCTCACCGCCATCTATGATCGGACTGTCTAGAAAATGCAGGAGCCTCGATATCTCGAAAACTTACGGTCTTCCACTGCCTGTTACAGGCATAGCTTTACTACTTTTATCTTTACAAGAGTTAGTTTCTTGCCTAATACTTCCAGCCGCACCATGGCCCTGGGGTCGACTCAGCCTCTAACAGAAATGGATACCAGGAATCTTCCTGGGGGGTAAATTGCCGCCGGCGCGTAAGGCTGACAACCTTACCGTCATCTGTGAGCCGATTATCTAGAAGATGTGGGAGCCTCAACCTTTCGCAACCCTATGGGCCTCCACAGCCTATTACAACGATAGCTTTACTTTATATATTGCACAGGCTGGTGGTTTCATGCCGTTTATCCCGAAAACCAGACTGTCAAACCCTCAGACGTTCTTTGGAATGAAAGTTCTAAACGTGGTGTAAAGGTACCTGTAAAGTGCCTGCAACGTGCAGGGCAGTAGAAATAGAATAGAGTAGATGCAGACTATACGAAGATCCATGACGTGAGGCAAACACGCGAAGCTAATTTCACATCCGCATACCAGCAGAATCATGCGGCGTCACAGTTTCACGGAATACAAAGTAGCAGTTAGCTGTACAGGTTAGTCATTTAGGTACACATCATAATTCCATAGAGTGACGTAGTACTGGGGCATGCATACCAATCACGTGTAGAGTCTTACTGTTCCCCACACATAAAAACGAGGCTTTCACTTTGTGTACGTTGATATGAACGGAAGACACACTCCGTACAGTTAGAGAGACGTGAAGTTGCTCACCGGTAACCGTGTAGGTGCACCCGAATTTAGTTCGACGTTAGCATGTCGCCACTCTTCCAGCAGGGAGTGTACACCATCAGTCTGCCGGATCCCTTGCATCCTGCACTTGTAAGTACTCAGATTAGCTATTCCATGCCTCGTGTTGCAATCCAAATCAAGTTAATTTGGCAGAGAAGGGCCATCATTAGACGTTTTCGTTTTAGTGTTGAAAAGTGTCCCATAACCCGGAAATCCGGTTAGTAGACAATTTCTGGTCATAGTAAAAACTAACTGTGAATCACTAATGTAGAAAATAATATGCCGCCAATTCCAGATTTTAAGAGAACTGTTTTCACGGTGGAGAACGGAAAGCAAATAGCCTGAGTAAATGCACGTTACCGGCGCGTAGTACAAACAAGTTGAGTGTCGTATCGATTCCTCGAAAGCTACATGAGAATAATCATGAAGCGTGAACGCCTGTCCACTAGAAATGGCTTCTAGTGTCTAGGAATACTTGTGAAAACACAGGTCCGTTGTTGTCTTATGAAGGAGAGCCGCAATGAATTCGTTCGGTTTATCTGTTTATTCTTTAAATGGCCTTTGTTTTATCGAGTCGATTAATCCTGTCAGACGTATTTCTTAACTTAATAGCTTCATGAGACAGCGAAGGGGAACGATTTCAGGACCAATACTTACTTACTTATGGAGCTGAGACCTTCTTGAGAAGCCAAATCTGCAACTACTCAAGAATTTCCCAGCATTTTATGGAACCCGAAGGTTCATTACCGTGTCCACAAGAGCCCTCCACTGGTCCCTATCCTGAGCCAACTCAATCCAATCCATACTATCCCATCCTGTCTCTCTAAGATCCATTTTAATATTGTCCACCCACCTACGCCTTGGTCTTCCCAGTGGTCTCTTTCTTTCTGGCTTTCCCACCAATATCCTACATGCATTCCTTTCCTCCCCCATTCGTACTACATGCCCTGTCCACCTCATCCTCCTTGACTTGATCATTCTAATTATACTTGGAGAAGAGTACAAGTTATGAAGCTCCTCATTATGCAGTTTTCTCCAACCTCCTGTCACTTCATCTCTCTTCGGTCCAAATATTCTCCTCAACACCCT